GGGAGAGGCCCTGCGTGGGAAAGAATAACACATATATATATATATATATATATATATATATATATATTTTTTTTTTTTTTTTAGAATGACTTAATTTTAAGGGTGGGTGGAAGGCCCAGGACTAACGCGCTTCCCAGTGGGCTAGGACAGTCGGCAGAGAACGACAGGGAGATTTGGATCCGTTGGGTACGTTCCTAAGAAGACACTCGCTCTCCCTGCCCGGCCACCACTGGAGGGCGCGCGCCGCCTGCAGAAGGCGACGGCCGGCCGCGATCGGGGAAGGGAATGGAGCGCCCACCTCGCCAGGCTTTTCCTTAGCTGGTTCTGAGGGAGTCAGCGGTTCCGGTCTCCTCAAAGGCTGCGGGCCCGGGTCAGGGAGGGCGAAATGGGTTTGGACAGATCAAGAAAGAGGTCGAGCTTTTCGAGGGCCTCCCATTGGTCAAACTGCAGGCCCACGCTCCAGGGCTTCCCCACTGGTGGCTGGGCTCACTTGTGGGTTAGGGTTAGGGTGGAGGCGCTTGGGGGGACGGGGGGGGTGGCGCGCTCACTCGTGGATTGGCGCGCTTACTTGGAGGGAGGGTTGGCGCACTCGCTGGGGGGCCGGGGAAGGTTGGCGCGCACACCTGGGGGGACCCTGTGCTCACTCTGGGAGCGCGCGGGTTCTCGGTAACTCTTGAACCGACTTCTGTGGCGGGGTCCCGCGCGCTGCCGGAGCCTCGTATCCCCTTTCACTGCTGTTTATCTCGGACTCGCGACGATCAGGACCGGACGAGGTTCAGAACCTTCCGGGGGGGACAGCTGGTCCTGGCGTGGGTTTGCGGGGCTCAGCAGCACCGCCCCCAGCAGAAATCGGCGAGAGGCAGGGAAATCGTGTCTAGAGAGTCTGGATGTAGGGTCCCGGCTGGGGAGGGAGAAGACCACTAGGGGCAGCTTCTACCCTCCCCCTGGAGCTGGGGGTTGGAGGTGGGAGTCAGCTCAAGCCGGGAGCTCCCAGCGGGAGTACCAGGCTTTGAGGGCCTCTTAAGTGCTCTGTTTGGGAGGCCTAACTCCAGTAAAACAAAACACATTCAAATACACCTACATCTCACAGTAAACATAATTGGTAGGTGACTCTCTGGAAGGCTTGAGTTGCTTTTGACAATTTGATATGCCAGCTTTCGCATACGTTGAAATAACCATTAGTAGTTTCAATTTTGCACTTTTAGTATTTTGGAACCAAATGCATTTTTTCCCCCAGAACTCAAATATTTTCTTAATTCTTGGAAAACTTGTAGGCCTAAGGCACAGACGGGTTCCTGTAGTGGCTAGTGGATAAAACTGACTACCTCACAGCCATCCACACACAGAAACTCGCACACGCATTCACAGTCACTCTAGGTTTTCATGAAGTTGCTGAGTCCTGACTCATGCAGAACAGGCCAGTGGCTGCTTATACATGGGGAGAGGCTGCCCAGCCTCCCTGCAGTGGTCCAGAGTGAGGTTCTGCTGACTGCATATAAGCAATCAGAATGGAAACAGTGGGGATCTTTGCTAAACAATAAAACTGAATAAGAAGATGCTTAATAAGACAACCCAGGACAAGTTCTGGGTACTCATGTTTTGAGTCCAGAGGCAGGGGCAGGAGGCAGTGCCACATTGGCCGCCTTGCAAAATCGGCTACAGCAGCATTTCTTGCACATATTAGGGTCACTGTTGTGTAACTCTGCACTGTGAACCACAAAGATAACACAGAGCCTTTTGGCTATGTCTAGGTAATTTTATATAGTTTATTCCATGATCTCATATGAAGACACAGGCGCGTGCTGATGAGCCAGAAATTCTGTGGAGTAATTGGTGAGTGTCTGAAAGCATACACATCCAAACTGCTAACAGTGGTTACTCTTGAGATAGCAAAGTGGACTTGAGAAGTGGGAGGGTGCAGACTTTTAATTTTACTTTTGATAATATATATATCAAAGTAATACAGATATATGGGAAAAAATATAAGCCATATGAGGGGGACCCAAAAGAAACCAGAATTATTTTTTGGAGGGCTGGCCCTTGTAGTACGGGCTTCTCCTGCTAGGTAAGTATTCTAAGAACTCATCGGCATCAGTGTACCAGCTAGCGTTGTGAGAGGCTTCAGTGAATTTTGTTTGGAAGTTCTTTCAACCCATTTGCCCATTTCATAATGGGTGATTTATGAGAGCTCTTGCCCACACCGTGTTGAGTGTTCAGCAGTTTTTGACTAATGGCATGACTCCATGCCCCCCCCCATTCACTTGATCTTGCCAAGATGGAAAAAGTCCTCAAAGGGAAAAGTTTTGCTGATGTGGAATTGTTGAAATGGCTGAAGCACTACATGGCATCAAAATGGACAAGTTTAAAAACTGTTTTGAGCAGTGGAAAAAGTATAATGATGAGTATATTGCATCAAATGGTGAGTTCTTTGAAGGTGACTGAAGTTCAAACATGTAAGAATAAATACACAATATTTTAATAAATAAATTCTGTTTCTTAAAAATAAAATTTCCTCTTGTATAAGTTGACCATAAGTGCATGGGTTTACTTCTGGGTACTCTATTATGTTTCATTGGTCAGTGTGTCTGTTTTTCAATCTTTAAAACTTTTTTGTCTTTAATTGATCCATAGTAATTGTACACATTTATAGGTACAGAGCAATGTTTTGATACATTATACAGGGTGTAATTATCAAAGGGTACTTAGCATACCCATCAACTTCATACATTTATCATTTCTTTGTGGTGAAAACATTAAAGATACTTTCTTCTGGCTATTTTGAAATTCACAATGCAGCACTGTTAGCCCTAGTCACCTCACTGTGCAGTAGAACACTATAACTTATTCCTTCTATAACTTTGTACCCATTGGCTAACCTCTCCCCATCCCTTCTTCTCCCATTACCCCCACTCCCAGCCTCTGGTAACCAATATTCTGCTCTCTGCTTCTATGAGATGAACTTCTTTAGACTCCACGTATGAGTGACATGATGTAGTGTTTTCATACTCAAGAGTTGAGATTTAAAACATTATTTTACTGCTTTATTAAGGACAGACTTTGGTTTAGAATTTTATCTAATGCTTTCTTGGTATCTATTGAGATAATATTTCTTTTGTCAATATAACGAATAACATTTATTAATTAAAAAGTATCAAATTATCTTTACATACCTTTGATATATCCAAATTGGTTATGTGCTGTGTTATTATTTTAAAATATTCTGTTGGATTCAGTTTATTAGTGTTTTCCTTGGGATATCTGTATATATATATATATATTTGACATACTGTACCTATATTCAGAAGGGAAATTAACTCCTGCACTTTTCTTTCTTGCTCTCTTTTTCTGCTTTGGTATCATGTAATATTGACCACATAAAATGATTTGGGAAGTTTTATTTTTTTCTATTCTCTGATTTTTTTAAAATAGAAAGATTCACAGACTTGCTAAAAGTTGTCTGTAAAAACATTTGTATCTGAGATATGTATATACATATATAGTCCAGCATAATTTGGGCTATTATAAACCATTGCATCAGTTCTTCTAATATTTACAGAACGATTCAAGTTTTCCGTTTCTTGAGTTAGCTGTGGCAAGTTACATTTTCCCAGGGATTTATTCATTTTTGTCTAAATATTCAAAATTGTTGGCATGTAGATATTTATACTATTTTGTCTTTTTTTTTAAAGTTAGGGTCTCACTCTGTCACTCAGACTGGAGTGGCATGATCACGGCTCACCTCAGCTTTGACCTCCTGGGCCTAGGTGATCCAGCTACTACAGGAGCCTTAGCCTCCTGTAGTAGCTGGGACTACAGGTGTGCTACCACATCCAACTTATTTTTTTTTTTTTTGTAGAGATGAGGTCTTGCTATGTTGCCTAGACTGGTCTCCAACTCCTGGGCTCAGGCAGTCCTTCTGCCTCCGCCTCCCAATATACTGGATTTATAGGCATGAGCCACGCCACCCGCCAAGTCTACAGCACCCGGTATTCCCAGGTAGTCTCCCATCCAAGTACTAACCAAATACCAAACCTGCTTGGCTTCCAAGATCAGACAAGATCAGGTGCATGCAGGGTGGTATGACAGTAGACAATTTTTTAAAAAAGAACTAATCTTTGGTTTTTTGATCCTCTCGATTATGTTTTTTGTTTTACATCTCATTGAACTCTAATCCCAATTTCTTTATCTCCTCTTTTCTGTTCCCTGGGATCACTAAATTGTTCATTTGTTCCAGAATCCTCCCCTTCTACTGCCCTCTACTACTACTTGAGAGTTTTGTTTTGAGCGGGTAGATGGAGTTGTTGCATGAAGAAGAGAGGGAAGCTGAGGAACTACAGACATAAAGGATTGAATGGACTTCCAAAGGATAAGGTCTGTCTTCCTACAGAGAAGAGGAATGCATGAAAAAGACAACAGATTATTGCTCTGAAGCCCAAAAGATAAAATCAACCCAGAGCAAAAGAGGAAGAATTGACATCTTTTGTCATTTCTGCCTGGACCATGGGGGCTGTTTCCAGCGGGACTATGCATCAGCATTGAGGCAGTGTGTGTTGTGCTGGGCAAAGCATCAGGAAAGGGACAGCCTCATCCTACTTATAGTAGGGCAGTGCCAAGTGTCTTCTCCAAATAGCTTGAAGGCAGCAGGCTCCTTAGAGAAGCCAGAGCTCTGGAACATAAGTGAATGTGTGCTAGAGAACATGAGAGACTCCTTTACGCTATAACTGGGTATGTCTGGATGAGGGACTTTGGTTCTATGGTCTAGCAAGTTTAAGTATTTGACACTGCAAAATTTTGGTAGTAGTATTAGTGTGACCTTATTTATTGCCAAGGCTGGTGAGGTCTGGGGGTCATTGGGTTACACATTATGTCCTCTTTACCACAGATACACATGCTCATTTTGAGTTGAGGCTATGCCCTGATTGCTGTTGTATACCCCATAGGTTACTGCCTTATACGTGGTGAAGGATATTTCTAGTCTCCACTTCAAAATTACCTTATTTTCAAAATTGCCCTTCTTTCAGCCTCTGGAAAGGTTTTTCTAGGAGTCTTCCAAGAGCCGCATGCAAGTCCTTGTTCCTCAGGCTGTAGATGAAAGGGTTCATCATGGGCGTGACCACAGCGTACATCACTGTGGCTACCGAGTCCTTCATGGAGTATGTTTGGAGTGGCTGCAGGTATACCATAGCAAGTGTCCCATAAAAGAGGGAGACCACACCCAAATGGGAGGCACAGGTAGAGAAAGCTTTGTATTTTTTAGAGGCTGAAGGTATTTGAAGGATGGTTCTGACAATGTGGACATAGGATGCAATCATAAACCCTAAGGGGGTAAGGAAGATGAAGCAGCCCGTGGCAACCAACATTGTGTGAATAATGTGGGTGCTGGAACACGCCAGCCTCAGCAGGACGTACATCTCACAGAAGATGTAGTGGATCCGTCAGGGCCCACAGAAAGTCACCCTGGTCATGAGGAGAGTGAGGAGGAGGCCATAGAGGACAGAGAGACCCCAACACAAGATGAGTAGCAGGAAACAGAGGTCAGGGCTCATGACTGTAACATAGTGGAGGGGGCGGCAGATGGCCACATAGCGGTCATATGCCATCACAGCCAGAATGAAGTTGTCCAGGGTCACCAAGGAGACCAGGAAGTAGAGCTGTGTCAGACACCCTGCGTGGGAGATGGCTTTGTTCTGTGACTGGAGGTTTACCAGCATCTTAGGATTGTGTTGGTGACAAAGAAGAGATCAGTGAAAGAAAGGTTGGCCAGGAATAAGTACATGGGAGTGTGCAGGCGGGAGTCAGAGCCGATGGCCAGAATGATGAGCACATTGCCCACCACCGTGACCAGGTACATGGACAGGAACATCCAAAACAGGATTTGCTGCTGCTCAGGACTCTCTGAGATCCCCAGGAGCAGGAACTCTGAGTCCTCACTCTGGTTATCTCCATTCATTTCCCCAACTTTCTGCAACATTAGTACCAATGAACATTTATTAAGTGTCCTCTGTTGAATAAAGACATGATGTTAAGCAAAATCAACTATTTTTATACTATTATTAAAAATATTTTGGCTGGATGTGCCTCACATCTGTAATCCCAGCACTTTGGGAAGCTGAGGCAAGAGGATTCCCTGAGATCAGGAGTTGGAGACCAGCCTAAACAAAATGGCGAGACTTTGTCTCTACAATAAATAAAAAATCCAGGCATGGTAGCATGCACCTGTAGTCTCAGCTACTTGGAAGGCTGAGGGAGAGGGATTGTCTGAGCCCAGAAGATCGAGGCTGTGGTAGCTGTGATCATGCTACTGCACTCCAGCATGGGTGACAGATTGAGACTCCAACTCCAAAAAAAAAAAAGTTTAAAATATATATATATATATATATTAGACTAAATCTTAGGAATAAGAAAAGCAACAGAGTAGAATTAGGAACAAAAAATATATAAAATTCTTTATGCAACTTAATTATTCCAGCAACTTCTAATCTGCCATATTTAATATTATAAAATAATGGCTACATCTTATTTTAAAATCTTGTCATTTTCAAATACTCTTGAAGTGTTTAAGTTTTAGAGTGTTATGATATTGTGTAGGATTTTAAATTATATTTAATATAGGCATATGCATTATAAGAAATGGATATTGCCCAACTGAACAGACAGGTGAAATAAAAATATTGGAAATGAGAAAGAATTATTATTATTACTTGCTGATGTGATAATCTTTCTGAGAAATCTGAGAAAATTAACAACAACAAAAAAAAGATGTCCGTAAAGTGACCAATCGCTAAAGGAATGGACCCAAAACGAATCATGGTCCCAACAAACCATGTAATGCAGTGTAAGACTGTTGTCAGAATTCTTAAGTTCAAGCCTGAGTGCTGCCACTTTACTAGCTGTAAAACCTCAGGCAGGTTTCCTTTAGTTCTTTAAGATTCAGTTTCTTCATGTGAAACATAGGTTGAGGCAAGGAGAAAATTAAGTAAATAAAGTACTTAACAGAAGGAGCTGGCATGCAGGGAGTACTCAATAAATATTGTCTATTATTATTACATATAAATGATATGGAATACTAAGGTTGAAATATAATATGAAACACATAATCAGAAAACAAATCTATGCATTAAGATGCTAATCGGAATCAGGCATGGTCTTCAAAGTCTCTGGTGAGACATATAGTAAAAATGTAATAAATCGATAGACATACCAAGATTTAAGACAGAAAGATGAGCTGTTGCAAAGGGGCATATTCTGAGTTATTCTAAAATTTAAACTATTTGAAGTCAAAATTCTAATTGAGTTTTTAAGAGACAAAGTGAATCTAAATTTCATTTAAAAATAAACATGAAATTAAGCTAGAAAAATGTTTAAAGCAAGGGGGCACTTACTCTATAAAATATTAAGAACTTCAAAACATAGGGTGCGGTGAGGACACAACATCAGTAAAGTACCTGATCTCAAACCAGGCAGAGTGGGGACCAAAGGGAGGCCTAAACTTTACCTATACGATGACCACTTGTATACTTAACCCTGAATTGTACCCCACATCTTTAAAATAAAATATATAAGAAAAGAAGAGAATGGTATTCTGGGTTCTCCAACTCTTTGTTCAAAAAAGCAGAATTATGACCACCTTTGATGAGCTGACTTGTCTCCCCCCAACATTTCCACGTTGAAGTCCTTACCTTCAGTACCTTGGAATGTAACCATATTTGGAGATAAGGTCTTTAAAATGATGATTAGTTTAAAATTAGGCCATTTGAGTGGGTCCTAATCCAATATCATTGGTGTCCTTGTAAGGAAAGGAAGAGACAACAGGGATATCCCTTCACCAGGAAAAAAAGAAAAGAAAAAAAGAAAAGGCCATGTAAACACACAGAGAGAATGTGCCATTGGCAAGCCAAGGACAGAAACTGACTCTGACAACATCTCAATCTTGGACTTCTGGCTTCCAGAGCTGGGGGAAAATAAATTTCTGTTGTTTAAGCCAAAAAAATAAAAATAACCAGCATGGTACTGATGCCGGCATGAACAGATCAGTAGAACTGGTTAGAAACTTTGAGACAAAGCCAAATACATGTGGGATTAGTGGCTTATTATAATACTTTCATTCATCAGGTGAAGGTTGTATTATATAGTAAGTGGCATTGGGACAACTGTCTACTTATTTTGGGGAGAAGTTGCATCAATGTTTTGTGTTTTATCAAACATATTTCAAATATACTAACAGACAGAGATTGGAACCATTTCCCCTGAAAACTGGAATAAGACAAGGATGCCCACTCTCATCCCTCCTTTTCGACATAGTTTTGCAAGTTCTAGCTAGAGCAATCAGACAAGAGAAGGAGATCAGGGGTATCCAAACAGGAAAAGAGAAAGTCAAGTTATCCCTCTTTGCAGACAACATGATTCTATACCTTAAAAACCCAAGCGAATCTGTCATAAACCTCCCTGCACTGATAAAGGACCTTGGTAAAGTCTCAGGATATTAAAAATCAATGTGCAAAAGATAATTGCATTTATACACACCAACAACAAACAAACAGAAACCCAAATAAAAAGCACAATCCCATTCACAATAGTTAGAAAAAAAAAAATCAAATACTTTAGCATCCTCCTAACCAGTGACGTGAAAGACCTTTACAATGAAAACTACAAAACACTGCTCAAAGAAATCAAAGATGACACAAACAAATGGTACAATATTCCATGCTCATGGATTGGAAGAATCAACATTGTTAAGATGTCCATCCTACCTAAGGCAATCTAAAGATTTAATGCAATATTCATTAAATTATCAGCAGCATTCTTCTTAGACCTGGAAACCACACTACAGGAATTCATATGGAAATATAAATGACCATGAATACCCAAAACAATCCTCAACAAAAACAAAAACAAAAATCAACTCTAAATGGATCAAAGACCTAAACGTAACACCTTAAACTCCAAAAACCTTAGAAAATGCAGGAGACACCCTTGTGGAAATTGGAACTGGCAACCAATTTCTGATTAAAACCCCAAATGCCCATGCCATAAGATAGACAAGTGGGACCTCATCAAACTGACAAGCTTCTGCAAAGCCAAAGAAACTATCAAGAGAGCAGGGAGACAGCCCACAGATTGGGAAAAAATATGTGCCAACTGTATGTCTGTCAAAGGCCTAACATCTAAGATCTACAGGAACTCAAACGTGCTAAAATGAAAAAAACGAACAGCCCCATTACAAAGAGGGCAAAGTATATGAATAGATATTTCCCAAAAGATGACATACGAGCAGCCAACAGATACATGAAAAAATGCTCAGCCTCACTTTCATCAAAGAAATGCAAATTAAAACCACACCGAATGGAACTGTGTTTTTTATTTGGGTTTCTGTTTGTTTATTATTGGTGTAGAGAAATGCGATTGTCTTTTGTACATTTATTTTGTATCCTGAGATTTTGCCAAAGGCTTTTATCAATGTAAGGAGGCCTTTGACAGATTCTCTTGGGTTTTCAAGGTACACCATCATATCATCTGCATAGAGAGATAACTTGACTTCCTCTTTTCCTATTTGAATACCTCTGATTGCCTCCTCTTCTCTGATTGCTCTAGCCAGGACTTCCAATACTATGTTGAACAGGAGGGGAGAGAGTGGGCATCCTTGTCTAGTTCCAGTTTTCAGGGGAATTGGTTCCAATTTTTGTCCATTTAGGAGTATGCTGGCTGTGGGTTTCTCGTAGATGGCTTTTACTATTTTGAGGTATGTTCCCCGTATGCCTAGATGTTCAAGGGTTTTTATCAAGAAGGGGTGCTGGATTTTATCAAAAGCTTTTTCTGCATCTACTGATATGATCATGTGGTTTTTGTTTTGACATCTGTTGATGTATTTAATTACATTTATGGTTTTAAAATATTGAACCAGCCTTGCATGCCAGGAATGAAGCCTACTTGGTCATGGTGGATGATTTTTGAGATGTATTGCTGAATCTGGTTTGCGAGGATTTTGTTGAGAATTTTAGCATCTATGTTCATCAAAGATATTTACCTGTAGTTCTCTTTCTTTGTTGGATCTTTACCTGACTTGGGTATCAATGTGATGTTGGCTTCATAGAATGATTTGGGGAGAGTTCCAACTTTTTCAATCGCCTAGAATACCTTCAGTAGGATTGGTATCAGCTCCTCCTTGAATGTCTTGTAGAATTCTGCTGGAAAGCCATCTGGACCAGGGCTTTTTTTTGTAGGAAGTTTTCTTATTACGTAGTCGATTTCCTTGATTGTTATTGGTCTATTTAGGGTCTCAATTTCTTCTTGTTCCAACCTAGGTAGGTTGTGTGATGTCTGAAAGTCCTCCATTTCCTTATGGTTTTCAAGTTTGTTTCCATACAAGTGTACGTAGTAGTCTCTAATGATCTTTTGCATTTCTTCAGGGTCAGATGTGACTTCATCTTTTGTGTTTCTGATTATGCTTATTTGGTTTTTTTCTCGTTTCTTCTTGGCCAGTCTAGCTAGGGGACCATCAACCTTGTTTACCCTTTCAAAGAACCAGCTTTTTGTTTCATTGATTTTTTCTATTATCTTTTTGTCTTCTATGTCCTGGATTTGGGCTTTTATTTTGGTGATCTGGATTCTTCTGCTGAAATTAGGGTTTTTGTGGTCTTGCTTTTCCAGCTTCTTTAGGTGGTTTGTTAGGTTGTGAATTTCTGTTCCTTCCATTTTCTTCATGTATGTTTGTAGGGATATAAATTCCCCTCTTACTACAGCTTTCAGGGCATCCCAGAGATTTTGGTAAGATATTTCTTCATTTTCATTTGTGTCCAGGTATCTTTTGATCCCTGTTTTGATTTCGTCGTTGACCCAGGAGTTGTTTAGCACTGATGCTGTTTAGTGTCCATGTCTTTGTGGGTTTTGGGGGGACTTTGTTGGTGTCAATGTTTATTTTTATTCCACTGTGGTCCGAGAAGGTGTTTGGTAGAATTTCAGTCCTTTTAAATTTGC